TCTACACCATCGCCAGGCTTGTTTATATACTTAGTGAAGCCAGTGAAGAAGTTAATTATCCTTCCTGAAGCTCCTGATAAAGTAATTTAATCAACATAATGAAAAATTTTAAGTGGAAAATTTACCTCCCGTCTCAGTTAAATCTTGAATTCCGTTTTCTTTGTTATCTGGAATTTGTTCTCCGTTTGGTCATCATTTTCCACATCCTCTTCTTCCTTTTCATTCCTCAAGTTTTTGTCTTTTGCTCTCTACTTCCTGGTCCTTCCACTTCTTTTCTTTCTTCTTCAGTCACTTTTTCTCTTCTCGTATTTATTTTGTAGTCTATTCTTTCTCCTCCTTTCTACCTTACTTTGTCTTCCCAATCCTCTTTCTTCTAACTCTTCTTCCTTGTGGTCTTTTCCTTCCTCTTGCTCCTGCCTCGTTCTCTTTTACTGTTTTCTTCATCTCCTTCTCCTCCCCCTCGTCTTCTAGTCGTACTCTGAGCCAATGGTGATGCTGAGTTCTTGTGAGACGATGAGCGTCTTGTGGTACCAGATGTTGGTGTCCAGCACGACTGTCAACAGGAAGAGAGCGTGTGTTGTTAGTGTCTTGTCATCACTAAAAGCAGCAGTTATATATATATATATATATATATATATATATATATATATATATATATATATATATATATATATATATATATATATATATATATATATATATATATATATATATATATATATATATCATTAACAACAGGTATATCTATCATTAATAACAGCAGTAGGTATATCTGTCATTAATAACAGCAGCAGGTATATCTGTCATTAATAACAGCAGTAGTTATATCTATCATTAATAACAGCAGTAATTATATGTCATTAATAACAACAGCAGGTATATCTGTCATTAATAACAGCAGTAGTTATATCTGTCATCATTATCAGTAACAGTTACGTCTATCACCAATAAAATAGTATCAATTAAGTCTACTATCAATATCAAGTTCATCGTCGTTAAGATTATTAAAATATATTATAATCAATGCCATGACGAAATTTTTTTTGCCGTTAGCAAGTAATAACAGCAAGTGAAGTTTATAAAAAAAATAAATGAAATAACTCGAATGAATACTAAAACACTTAAATAAAAATGATTACAATAATACATCAACAAAATTATACTGATCACGGAATTACACAGAAATAATCAATAAGAAAAGGCCCAATTATATTAATGATTTAATTATTATCATTTATTTCTTCTTTGATATATGTTTAGTAATTTTAATTATTACTAGGAATTAATTGAAAATCTTCCTCAACGCACTAAACCAAGAAGCTAACTATACTATACAGTCTCCCGGGAAAACTGTCAAGATCTTTCTTGAACGTCGACGAATATATACGTTTCAAGAGTCACAAAACAAGGAAGTTTTTGATGTGTGGTTTATAGATGAAAAGGTATTAATAAGAATTTTATTTTTTATATAATCACAGATCCATGGAAATTGATATATTGGTTATTTTTCAATTGGTTTCATATTATTATGTAGAGTGAGTCTGTTGTAGATTTCTACAGTCAGTTCTTTTTATTTTATTGAAGTTTTAGTCGATGATCTATTTTCTTTCCCTGATTTCTTTTCGTTAATCCAATTTTCTCCTTTGAATTCACGTTGACGGCAGCCTAATTTACTTTGACCTTGCTTCGACAGTGGGTGTTTTTTCTTTGTTTATACTACTTGATTCCATGAAAACATAAATTTTTTCTCCTTTGACACCACCAATTATTCTCCTTTTGATCTTTTGACCTGTGTGTGTGTGTGTGTGTGATCCAAACAAAACAAACTATGCAACCTCTTATGGTCGCTGCATGGCATGAGCATCCTGAAAGAACTGCCCTTTTGGCAAAAGAGCTGGCTAGGTATAACATCAACATAGCAGCCATTAGTGAGTCCCGGCTCCCAGACGAGGGTCAACTCACAGAACAGTGGTCTGGCTATACCTTCTTCTGGAAAGGTAACCCTGGTGCGGAAAGAAAACGCATTTATGGAGTTGGCGCTGCCATCCGCCAATGCATGCTACACAGGCTAACTGAAATGACTTTTGGGATCAACAAGCATCTCATGACGCTCCGAGTCTCACTGAATCACTCACGTTATGCACTTTTCTTCAGTGCATACGCCCCAACACTGAAGGCAGAGGATGACCTCAAGAAGGCTTTTTACACCGCCCTCGACAGAATGCTAACCACTATTCCCAGAGAAGATAAGGTTGTGCTCCTTGGTGACATCAATGCCAGAGTTGGCAGAGATGCTGACATTTGGCAGAGAACCACGGGAAGAAATGGACTAGGCAAGTGTAATGCCAACGGCCTACTTCTCCTCAGCAAGAATGCTACACACAACCTCACTATCATCAATACCAAGTTCAAGGGTTTGTGGCAACACCCACGATCCAAACACTGGCATATCATTGACTACACCATTGTCAGAGAAAGAGTTCGCCGAGATGTCCTCATCACCCGAACCATGCGTGGCTCAGACCACTACAACACTGATCATCGGCTTGTCAGAGCCAAGCTCTCACTTCACGTCGCACCAAAACTGCGAAGGCAACAAGCCTCGAGAAGAGTTTTAACACTAAACGTCTGGATGATCCAGCGTTAGCACATGCTTTCAGAGAGCAGATCGAACTTGGGTTGATAAACAACCCGGACAACGAACAACCCAAATCCCACCGCCGAATGGGATATTCTGAACACTGTCATGACAAAAACCTGCAGAGAGACCTTCGGCCAGATCGAAAGAATACACCAGCACTGATTTGATGAAAATGATCCGGCAATCAATGTACAAATCAATGATAAACGTGCTGATTTAACTGACTGGCAGAACAACCCTCAGTCTCGGACCAAAGTTGATACCTTCCGCAAAAAGAAAGCTGTGGCCCAGGGGGAACTTCGCAACCAAAAGAATGACTGGTATAAAAAATAAGTATGTGAAACACAAAAATTTGCAGATCAGCACAAGACGCACGAATTTTTTCAATTCCATCAAAACATTTTTTGAGCCAGTAATTCGTGGCACAGCTCCCCTCCACTCATCCGACGGTGATTCCACAATTAAAGATGATGAAGGCCTCCTTCAGCGCTGGAAAGACTACTACCATTCACTGCTCAACCGAAACACTGGTGTGGATGTCCTGACTACCCAGCAGATCCCTCAGCATCCAGAGCAGACCCATTTTAGTTATCCTCCATCCCTGGATGAGGTTATTACTGACATCAAACAGATGAAAAATAACAAAGCTTCAGGGCCTGATGGAATCCCACCCGAAGTGTATAAAGTAGGAGGACCTCTGCTTACCAGCCGTCTCCACTCTCCCCTAGAGAATATATGGGAAAAGGAGGAAATCCCCAAGCTCTTAAGGACACCTCCATCAGCAATATTTTTATGAATAATGAAGACTGGTCAGACTGTGGCAACTACCGCGGGATCTCGCTGCTGTCTGTAGCTGGCAAGATTTTTACCTGAGTCCTCCTAAACAGACTTCGTCCTGAGGCGGAAAACTTCCTCCCAGAATCCCAATGTGGCTTTAGACTATCACGTGGCACCTCTGACATGATCTTTGCTGCTCGCCAGATACAGGAAAACTGCAGAGAACAAAGTCGTGACCCGTAAATGGCTTTCATCGACCTAACCAAGGCCTTCGACTCGGTCAACAGGGTGGCCCTCTGGTGGACCCTCAGCCGTTTTGGCTGCCCCCCAAAACTCATCGCCATTATGAGACAACTTCACGATAGCATAAACGGCAGTGTCTTGCACAATGGCACCCAGTCTGAGTTCTTCCCCGTCCAAACTGGGGTTTAAACAAGGATGTGTACTGGTACCATCTCTCTTTTCCATCTTCTTGACTGCCTTCCTTACTAATGCCAGTGTCAATTTAGCCGGCGGGGTGGACACAGAGTACTGAGTGAAGGGGGGTCTTTTCAATATAGGACGACTCTAGGGAAGAACAAAGTTGTCAGCAGTTTCCATTTCTGAACTTCAGTATTCAGACGACCTCACGTTTGTTGCTTACACTGAACGCGACCTACAGGAGATCCTGATCTCCTACGCAGATGCATATGCACACTTCGGCCTTGAGGTGCATGTACTAAAGACTCAGTTTCTCTGGTTCAGACACACCTCCACCATCCATCCAGCTTAACGGTACTACCCGCTCTAATGTTAACCACTTTCGGTATCTCGGTTCCCACCTGTCCACCACCGATGACATCCATGAAGAGATTGAGCATCGGATCAGATATGCATCTCATGCCTTTGGCAGACTCCGAAACCATGTCTTCAGCAGTCGGAAGCCGATATTATCTGCAAAGTTACACGTATATCGAGCAGTGGTTCTCCCCACCCTGCTATATGGCAGTGAGACATGGGTTACATACAGGACCCACCTCAAGGCACTTGAAAACTTTCACTAACGTAGTCTACGTTCCATCCTCCGAGTTTGCTGGGCAGACAAGAGAACAAATGCCAGGAACCTTACTGACACCAACTGTAGAAGCATCGAGGCTACCATTATTCATGAATAACTACTCTGGACTGGCCATGTTACCCGCATGGACCACAGTAGACTGTCAAAGCAGCTACTTTACAGTCACTTAACAAATACTAAACGTACCGCCAGCAGGCAACTGAAAAGGCATAAGGATAGTCTTAAGATAAATCTGAAAAAGTGCCAAATCGACCCCCTCACCTACGGGTCGATTACTCCACATCGTAACGCGAGGAGGAGCACCACACGTGAAGGTTGTGAATACTTTCGAGTTGTCCCGATTGTAAACCGAGGCAGACAAGCGCCAACGCTGGAAAGACGCTGCCACCGCCCTTCCTCACTAGATACAGCCCTCCACATGTGCAATGAATGTGAACGACTCTGCCGGTCCAGTATCGACCTCTTTAGTAACCTCAAAACTCACCAACCTAGGTGACATTATTAATATCTCATAATATTGTATCGTAGCTGGATGATCGTCACACTCGTTTCCGAGTGACTGCAAAGTAGTAGTAGTAGTAGTAGTAGTGTGTGTGTGTGTGTGTGTGTGTGTGTGTGTGTGTGTGTGTGTGTGTGTGTGTGAAATAACAAGTGGAAGGAAATCAAATGTAAAATATTAATGGTCACTTCTAGTCAACCAATCAACGAAGATAAAGACAGAACGATAATGACGACACATATCGTCAACAAACTAGAGTGTGTTTTACAGAATAGCAACTACATTTGAGGAAACACCGATAACCTCCATTATACTTAACCAATTAGCACGGCTCAAGACCTATAATGACGTCATGTGTAATCAACCAATCTGTGTGTGTTTGACCATCACGTCATTAAAATCGACCAGGTATTTAGTTTAAGGGATTATCGATAGTTTGCAAAATATTCAACCAATCAGCGTGTATGTTGACGGGATACTGAACAAATCATTATATGAAATCAGCTAGTCTGAAGGCAAGACGATAATGTCACATGAAATCAACTAATCAGTTTGTCTGACTATAAAACAGTCATATCGCATTTGTGTTTACTGTCGAGAAAAATATTCCGCTGGAAATTAGTAAAATTTTGCTTCATTAACTGATGATCCTCCTAGAGCTACATGTTGTGGTTTGATTTCGTATAACTGTTAGAAAGTCAGCTTGTGATCACTGTCTTAAAGATTCTATATTAGTTCACATTAACAAGCGTTTGTTGCACCGACAACGATGTAGTTTATAGGCTATTACTCACTAGTGACAACCAACAGTATACGAGTGAACCAGACCTGACCTACCTGACCTTCCTTAACCTACCCTACCTTACTCACCTAAAGTAACCGAACCTAATCCACCTTACTTACCGAACGTTAACCTGATCTACCTGACCTAACCTAACTTGACCTACCCTACCTAACTTAACCTTACCGTACTTACCTAACGTTACCTGTCTTACTCTACCTAACTTAACCTACCCTATCAGACTTAACATAACCTGACCTACCCTACATAACCTACTCTACTTTACTTACCTAACGTAATCAACCCTGTCCTACTCTAACCTATCCAACCTCATTTCCCTTGCGTAACCTACCCTAACCAACCTAACTTATATAACGTATCTTAACCTACTCTAAAATAAGCTACACTACACTAGCTTAATAACCTACCCTACCCTAACTTACCCTAAATATACCCTATCCTACCCTACCTTATTAACCTTCCCTACCCTACCCTACTTACCTAACATAACCTACCTTAACCTACCGTACCCTACCCTATCTTACGTACCTAACGTAAACTAACTCAGCCATTAACTGTGCACTTAGGTATTTTATTCTGGCTAAAGCCAGAGTGATTTGATTCAGCTGAGAGAAACTCCTGCCCTCTAAAGGGTTAATGAAGACAGACAAAGAAAGCATAACAATCTTAACCTAATTTACCCGACTAATCTAACCGAACATTACCTACCCTGTCTGATCTAACCCAGCCCATCCCAACCCAACCTAACCTAACCTAACAAAACCAAACACAACCCTAACCAACCCAACCCAACCAAACCAAACCTAACCTAACCCATCCCAACGAAAACCAACACTACCCAACGTAACGTAACGTAACGTAACGTAACCTAACCTAAGCTAACCTAACCTAACCTAGTGATTACACAATATTATTTGAAATTAAGTTAGGTTAGGTACGGTTAAGTTGGGTAAGGTTAAGTTAACTTAGGTGGGCTAGGTTAGGTTAGGTTAAGTTAGGTTATGTTATATTAAGTTAGGTTATTTAAGGTTATGTTAGGTTAGGCGGGTTAGATTAGCTTGGTTCGTTTTGCCTGTGTTCATTAACAGTGCGATACGAGAATCTTCTTCATTGTGGATTTGTGAGCACGGTCATAAAAATTACAAATTGGGTCACGTCAAACACATCCGTCATCACACTCGAAAAATTGTGACGCGGTTGAACAGGGGAAGTGATGCAAGTGATTATTCCTTTAGCTGTCTCTGTATACTTAGTTCTATTATTCTCAGTCTTCATTTATATATATGTGTGTGTGTGTGTGTGTGTGCATATACGAATGTGCATAGATACACACTCACACACACACAACAGAGGGAGAGAGAAACAGGAGCTAGCTTTCCTCCAGCACCTACTTCACTTTGGCTTCTGTTAATGGCCTCAGAAATTGTTCCTCCCCCTCCAACTCTACATGATGAGTGGGCTGCCTCCATTATCAACTCTCTTTCTCTCTCCTCACTCACCTTTTCCCCTTCCTCATAGGCATCCATTCTCTCTTTCCCTTCGCCCTCTTTTTAACTTTCAATCTCTCCTTTCATCCCTTTCCCCCACGTCAAGAGAACCTACTTCCTGTCCCTTCCCTTTCATATTTCCCATACTTCCTGCATCGTATCTCCTTCCTTCCCTTTGACTCTTTACTTTCCTCCTTTCCATTCCCTTCCTCTTCTCCCTCTTCCACCACTCTTCCATTCCTCTCCCTCTCCTCCTTTTCCCCTTTTCTTCTCCCTCTCCTCCCTGCCCCTCTTTTTTTCCTCCCCTCCCCTTCCCTTCCCTTCTCTGCCCTCCCCTTTCATTCTTTAACATCCCCTCCATGCCCCCTTCCTTTCTTTTCATTCCTCTCCCCTTCCCTTCTCTCCTTTCTCCCCTCCTTCCTTCCCCTCATCTTCCCTCTTCCCTTTTCTTCCTTCCTCCCTTTGCACTCTTCCTTCTTTCTCCCTCTTTAACCCCTACCCTCCCTTTCTCACCGTCCCTTCCTCTTCTTACCCTCCTCTTCCTCCCCCTTGTCCCTACTTACTGATCTCCCCCGGTTCCACCACCACCTCCATGGGGACACACTCAAAGTAGCACTCTGGCGGGGGCTCCAGGGTCCACAGCTTCCTGCCTCTGATTTGGGCTTGCCACGACGGGTTGCCCACGTGGTCGATCTGAGGGAGAGACACACCGGGTTAGAGAACCTTGCGTATTAGAGAACCTTGTGTATTAGAGAACCTTGTGTATTAGAGAACCTTGTGTAGAAGAGAACCTTGTGTATTAGAGTACCATGTGTATTAGAAAACCTTGTGTATTAGAGAACCTTGTGTAGAAGAGAACCATGTGTATTAGAGAACTTTGTGTTAGAGAACCTTGTGTATTAGAGAACCTAGTGTTAGAGATTCTGTTTTTTAGAGATCCTTGTGTTAGATAACCTGGTGCTTGGAAACCTGGTGTAGCAGATGACCTAGTGTTAGAGAAATTGGTATATTAGAGACCCTGGTGTTAAAGAACTTGGTGTTAGAAAACCAGGTGTTAGAGATGTGTGTTAGAGAACATGGTGTTAGAGAATATGGTGTTAGAGAATATGGTTGAATTGAATTGAATTGAAACAGTTTATTTAGCCAGAAAAACACAGATACAGAGTGGATAATAATAACAATATTAACATGGCTGAGTCAGTTGAGATCCTGAGCTCTCTTTTAGGCACCTGATATATACTATACATTTATCTCAAGGAAGTATTATGTAACATTTAGTATCATCTGTTAAAGAACATGGTGTTAGAGAACCTGGTGTTAGAAACATTGGATTGATTATACGTTATGAAATCGGATAAGCTGAGGTCCGTTTGGTTAGGTCACTGATATAGGGCTGGATAATGGGTCAAGTGGATAGAGATCATGTGAGATCATGTCGGATGACGTCGGTCCACTACACGTCGGGTCGAGTTGGATGAGGTAAGATCGGATTTGGCCGGGTCGTGTTAAGTCAGGTCAGTCGGGACATGCAGCTCTTATAGTTTCTCATTAAGATAAGACGGGGGAGCAGAAGGTGTGCTATATTGGATTACCTTATTAGATTATCCCCACACTCTCTGAACCTCGCCTGGTACACGTTTTGGATTTATGGTAAGTATCAACACTTCCCGGCAATTCCTAACAAGATTTAACAAGTCCTAACAAGTTCTGCTCTCCTAATAAGTTATGACAAATTTGTGTAATTTCCAACAAATCCTGATGTCTTTTGAAAAATTCTAACAAGTCCTGAAACGTTCTAACAAAAAGCTGACAAGTTCTGACACGACCTTACAAGTTTTGAGAGGTCTGCCTAACAAGTCCTAATAAAACTTAACCAACCTTAAGAAATCTGCTCGTTTCCTATCAGTATCAAATGCCATCACCAGTAACTTAAACAGAATGTCTTCGGAAGGGGGAGGGGTATACACACAAAAGCCTTCGTGTACACCTTTCTTAAGCATCAGTTATCTCAGAGGGTATCGGGGGAGGATTACACTCATATATATTTAATTGGTATTTTCCTGCTACTCAAAAGGAATATTTAGTCGCCGCTATGTCTTTTCGTCCGTCCGTCCATATGTCTGTCTATTTGTCCCCCATTTCATGTCTGTTTTATAAAGTTGAACCAGTGAAAAAATTTTGAGGGTAATTTAAGGATGGCTAAATGTCAACAAGAGGCAGTGCCATGAACCACTCCCAGGTCTCTGTCATGAGAGACAAGGTTAGGGGACAAAAGTGGGTATTTTCAAGTGTTCAAGAAGCGTCTTACTGATTTTGTTTATCTCAGTCTTCTAATTAGGGAATAAAGAGAAAATCTTGCTAAGGTACTGTGTCAGAGCAATTTGGAAGCCATTTTAACCAACATCTCCATGCCATGAAACCAGTTAGATGTAGCGTCACATAACCAGATATGAGTTTGAAAATAATCTCCGACAAAGGCTCCAGATCTCAAAAATTATCTATGTTAATTTCTTCCCCAAAACCTGGAAACAGAATCTTACTGGGTCATCTATGCCTGCAGCATGAACCACATCTTATCGAGGCTGAACTGTATCTTACTTATTGTTTTTACTCAATGTTCCCAGGATTCATGGGACCAAAGGTTAGCTTAGGTTTGGCTTGTTTAGGTTGGATTGGTTTAGGTTAGGTTAGATTAAGTTACATTAAATTAGGCTGGGTCAAAATAAATTAGATTTAGAAAAGTTTGATTATGTTATGTTATGTTATGTTGTGTTATGTTATGTTGTGTTATGTTATGTTATGTTATGTTATGTTATGTTATGTTATGTTAGGTTAGGTTGTGTTATGTTATGTTGTGTTATGTTGGTTGGGGTGATGTTAGATTAAGTTCTGTTAGGTTATGATAGGCTGTATTTGGTAAGATTAGGTTAAGATAAGCTAGGATTGGTTAGATTATGATAGGTTAGATTAAGTGAGATTAAGTTAGGTTAGGTTTGCTTATAAACGGTTGGACTGAATTAGGTTAGGTATGGTTAGGTTATGATAGATTGGACTGAGGGAGGTTAAGTTAGGTTTGGTTTGGTACCAATGAGTCTTAAGTAGAGAAAAGTGATCGTAAGATATTTTGAGAATGGAGACCCTATTATGAGTAATGCCTTGACCACATTCAGTAAAAATTCTCTGGGATTTAGTTTAAGGATTTTGTTCGTTTGGGATAAAAGTAGCTTTACCGAGACAGAAGTAATGACCACTCTGGGGAAGGTTGAGTTTGTTTGGCCTTCTGCAGTAGTTTATATTGGATATTTGTATGGTGTAATTATACGAGTGTGTGTGTAATAATAATAATAATAATAATAATAATAATAATAATAATAATAATAATAATAATAATAATAATAATAATACTAATAATAATAATAATAACAATAATAATAATAATAATAATAATAATAATAATATTATTATTATTATTTTTATAATTAATGGTTTATTCAGAGAAAATAGCAACCAAGGACAAATACATAATGAATAGAAATTATGAAAATTACCTATTGGGGAGGGGTTCATTTTACAAAATATTTTAATATAAAAAAAAGGAGGTAACATATGGTGAACAAACAAGTTAATTAGGCTCTGATAATGAACATAAATGTTAACTAGGCTCTGATAATGAGCGTAAAAGTTAGCTAGGGTCTCAAAATGAACATAAATGTTAGCTAGGGTGTGATAATGAACGTAAAAGTTAGCTAGGGTCTGATAATGAACATAAATGTTAGCTAGGGTCTGATAATGAACGTAAAAGTTAGCTAGGGTCTGATAATTAACATAAATGTTAGCTAGGGTCTGATAATGAACGTAAAAGATAGCTACGGTCTGATATTGAACGTAAAAGTTAGCTAGGGCCTGATAATGAACGTAAAAGTTAGCTAGGGCCTGATAATGAACGTAAAAGTTAGCTAGGGTCTGATAATGAAGGTATAACTTAGCTAGGGTCTGATAATGAACATAAATGTTAGCTAGGGTCTGATAATGAACGTAAAAGTTAGCTAGGGTCTGATAATGAACGTAAAAGTTAGCTAGGGCCTGATAACGAACGTAAAAGTTAGCTAGGGTCTGATAATGAACATAAATGTTAGCTAGGGTCTGATAATAAAAGTATAAATTAGCTAGGGTCTGATAATGAACATAAATGTTAGCTAGGGTCTGATAATGAAAATAAAAGTTAGCTAGGGTCTGATAATGAAAATAAATGATAACTAGGGTCTGATAATGGACATAAAAGTTAGCTAGGGTCTGATAATGAACATAAATGTTAGCTAGGGTCTGATAATGAACATAAAAGTTAGCTAGGGTCTGATAATGAACATAAATGTTAGCTAGGGTCTGATAATGAACATAAAAGTTAGCTAGGGTCTGATAATGAACATAAATGTTAGCAAGGGTCTGATAATAAACCTAAAAGTTAGCTAGGGTCTGATAATGAACTTAAATGTTAGCTAGGGTCTGATAATGAACATAAATGATAGCTAGGGTCTGATAATGAACGTAAAAGTTAGCTAGGGTCTAATAATGAACATAAATGTTAGCTAGGGTCTGATAATGAACGTAAAAGTTAGCTAGGGTCTGATAATGAACGTAAAAGTTAGCTAGGTTCTGATAATGAACTTAAAAGTTAGCTAGGGTCTGATAATGAACATAAATGTTAGCTAGGGTCTGATAATGAACATAAATGATAGCTAGGGTCTGATAATGAACGTAAAAGTTAGCTAGGGTCTAATAATGAACATAAATGTTAGCTAGGGTCTGATAATGAACGTAAAAGTTAGCTAGGGTATGATAATGAACGTAAAAGTTAGCTAGGGTCTGACAATGAACATAAATGTTAGGTAGGGTCTGATAATGAACGTAAAAGTTTGCTAGGGTCTGATAATGAACATAAATGTTAGCTAGGGTCTGATAATGAACATAAATGTTAGGTAGGGTCTGATAATGAACGTAAAAGTTAGCTAGGGTTTGATAATGAACATAAAAGTTAGCTAGGATCTGATAATGAACATAAATGTTAGCTAGGGTCTGATAATGAACATAAAAGTTAGCTAGGGCCAGATAATGAACATAAATGTTAGCTAGGGTCTCATAATAAACAAAAAAGTTAGCTAGGGGCTGATAATGAACATAAATGTTAGCTAGGATCTGAAAATGAACATAAATGTTAGCTAGGGTCTGATAATGAACGTAAAAGTTAGCTAAGGTCTGATAATGAACATAAATGTTAGCTAGGGTCTGCTAATGAACATAAATGATAGCTAGGGTCTGATAATGAACGTAAAAGTTAGCTAGGATCTGAAAATGAACATAAACGTTAGCTAGGGTCTGATAATGAACAAAAAATTTAGCTAGGGTCTGATAATGAACATAAATGTTAGCTAGGGTCTGATAATGAACGTAAAAGTTAGCTAGGGTCTGATAATGAACACAAGTGTTAGCTAGGGTCTGATAATGAACATAAAAGTTAGCTAGGGTCTGATAATGAACACAAGTGCTAGCTAGGGTCTGATAATGAACATAAAAGTTAGCTAGGGTCTGATAATGAACGTAAAAGTTAGCTAGGGTCTGATAATGAACGTAAAAGTTAGTTAGGGTTTGATAATGAACATAAATGTTAGCTAGGGTCTGATAATGAACGTAAAAGT